CCTTCACCCAGTACTCATTTTTACTGAATAAAGCTTGAACGCTTCACAATGTAAATCAATGCAACCTCCGTCAGCTGTTGGTTGCGCCCACTGGCTGCTTAGAGGTGACGATAGCTAGCTGCTAACTGCTAACAGCTAACAGCTAACGTTAACAAGCTCTCCTCCTGCTGACCTCTCAGCAGTGTTGTACTAGTTGAGTAATTTTGACATAACAATACAGCACATTTTGGGGTTCAGGTGACGTCAGATAACTCCGCCCATCTCCTCCAGAGAGCAGGTAACGAGCCGTGGAGGCGGCTCCCTTAATATTCGCTAAGGCCATGGCTACAGCTCAAAATGCTTCAAAGACATAAAAAAACTTAAAAATATAAAATGCTTGACAGAAAAAACACAATGTTAAATCAAAATCAGGAGCCAGATTTAAAGGGTACACTGTCACAAGGTAACCATGGCAACATGTGTTAACTGTTAAAATGTACTCATAGTTGTGTTAATGATGACATCATCAATGCACTTTAAATCTTGAAACTGAAAACTGTATTTATAACCGTTTTACGAACCAGGAGAAGATACAAAAACTATAACTGTCACTCAAACACCCACATGACAGCTGAAAGGTTAATTTATTATTGTACAATACAAGAGACAAACTTCACAACCAAACACAGATCAGAGAGAGAAAAGAGTCTGTGATGAGACAGAATAAATCATTTTGTATTTTTCCCAAGAACAAGATCTGATTGTCTCAGAGACACAGGCTGCCTGTCAGCTGAGCAGCGTCTGACTGCTCAACATAAACGGAAACACAACAACATGTTACAGCAGCAGAGCGGATGATTTCATCTGACGTGTTTTACAGTCTCCAGAAAACAATCCTGTAACTTTAATGTGACCTGTTTTCACATCCTCACTGTGACCTTGTCACATGTCCACGTTTGGTCATGGACTTTCCACGTCCACATATGACGTCCAAGGTACCCTGGGTGTGTTGGTTGTTGACGTTCTGGGAAGCCGTGTCAACTTCAGCCTGTTACATGCATTGTTTTATCTTCTGTTGTTCAGACCAGGCGCGAAGAAAACAATTTGTGCAAGTGAATCACATGTAAAGTCAATGTAAAGACACAGATTCCCATCGGGCGGCGTGATGGAAGCAACGCGACTGACTTGAAACAAGTGAGAGTTGAAAAATCTGAAATTCAGTGATCAATTTGTGCAGCCAATCAGCATTGCTCACGTGTGTGTGTTTGCACGAAACCCAAGAAAGCATGTGAACACACATGAAGGTGGTGCCCGTGTCTCACGGTCTCAGCACACACGTGAGCGCAGTGCCCAGAGAGGCAGTCAGAGCTACAGGCTCCAATGAGGCTAAAAACAGAGAAAACAGAGTTCAAATGAGGTTTTTCCAAACAACTTTTAATGTCGGGGCTTCAGGACACTTGGATCACTACGGACGAGCAGTATGGAGATATTTTGTGGTTTCAATGATGTGTTTTTGGACGTTTGAATCTGGGGCGCCGTCAGCCTCCATTAGGTGGAGTTGTGTTGCTACCTCCTCTCCCCTTGGATCTCTGCAAGTGATGTGAGGACTCTAAAACTTCACCTGAGCCTCCCTCGACATATGGGTGAGTAGATAATGGCTGAATTTACATTTTTGGCTGCACTATCCCTTTAAAGTTGCTGTGGTCAGGTTTGGGAACAGAAACATGGTGAGGACGTTTCTTTAAATGACTCACAGTTCACACATAGTTCACACAATTACACCAGTCTTCAGGAAAATCCTCATTTTTGTGAGTTTTGTCTCACATTGGTCACGTGATCGCAACCTTTCAAAATACACAGGATATGTATGAATTTGGGAGCATTACTTCTAGTAGGAAAACGTACAAACAGTTTATGAAAACAGCCTAAAAAATGATCAACTGTTATTGCGTTTAATTTTACATTAAAATGAAAATCTTGTTTCAGGTATTTTCACATCATTAATGTGAAACAAATCTTTAAATGTGTTCAACAACAAACAGAGCTGTTAGTAATAAAGTATATTATCAGTAACTGTCAAATAAACCTGTAAACATATTAATAAGTCTGTTTAAAGCTGTTTATTTATCAGGAAATGTGACGAGAAGAGCGTCTCAAACAGTTTTTATTTCTCTGTCAATCATTTCTTCATTTAAAACCATTTGTCACTTTATTCCTGTCACATCACTGCATCATGTTGGCTTTAGCTGCTGACACACACACACACACACACACACGCACACACACACACACACACACGGACACATGTTGGTGAATGACACTCACAGATTATAGACCTACCTCTCGTAGCACTACACTCTGTAATCTGTGGATGTCATGTGCTGAAACCTGTCAATATTTTCCTCCGCTGCAGCAGTCAGTGTGTCACATGTCAGCGTCTCTCACACACACACACTCACTGCAGAGAGAAAATATCCTTTAATAAACTGTAGAAATATTTAATGATGACTTAAAGTGCTCGTTAAAACTGATGTTAGTTGATTTCAGTGGAGAGTTGAGTCTGTCTGAGGTTAAACATTCATACCTACAGGCTATATAAATGATTTCACATTATTTAGAAGACAAATTAAAATTCTTAATCTGTGAGGAGTCACACACACCTCTGCATGAACGTGTTCACTGTCAGATACACTTCATATTCTCCACATCCACTCATGCTGCGTTCAGGTCCCATGGGATGGATCGTGCAGATGGGAAAGTTTTCCATGTAAACAATTTGCCAGCGTTCATGTTATCACAAGATGTGTGTGTGATGGTCATCTGAGGGATCAAACTCTGCTCTAACCATTTATATATCCATTCAGTCTGGGTTTAATTACGCTGAGCGGCGCTCTTTGCTGATCTGAGGCGTCCATGTTTGTTTTGCTTCCACGCCGTTCTGTATTGGAGCTCAGCTGTGTGTGTGTGTGTGTGTGTCTGAGCTTTCCAGTCCAAACATGAACTGAAACTGCGAACTTGTGACTGTAGATTTATCATCATCTGGGTCTGCCTGGTCCCTTTGCATGCACACCAACGTGCACAGAGGCTTTTTAACTTGTGCATGTAACTTTAATGTAAAGTGATGCCTGTAACTGTGCTAACAGCTGGGCTAACTAACTGGGGAGAGCAGCTAACGGCTAGCCTGCTTCGTAGTAAAGTCAAACTGACAGCTGAAACATGGAGGCTCTGTGAACCAACATGAACCAAGGTTTAACATTTATTATACTGTCAGGGCGCCACTGTTGCCAACTCCTCAGTAAGAAAAGTAGCTATTGGCTGTCCTAAAAGTCGCTAGAAGTAGCTAAATGACGTCATAGACTAATTTGCATAATTGTCCATATGAATGTAATTGTAATGGATGCTGTAGGAGAGAGGAATAACGTCGTGGGAGAGACAAAAACTGAGTAAAAAAACACCCTGAATATGTTTAGAACTACAAATGAACCTTCTTTCAGTGATGTATATTAGACAAAGAAAATTTTACATTTACATCCCGCCCTGACTGTAAACCAGGACGGGATCAGAGCGATAGATCAGCCAGCGGCGGTTCCGCGCATGCGCAATTCACTTGCAGTCTGGACGTGGAGGGGTTAATGTCTCCTGCTCTGACTGCAGATGGGAGGGAAGACTGGGCCGCCTGTAAGTGCTTTGAGGCGAGAGAGGAGCTCACGGCAGCATCCGCTGCCCGTTGAGAAGAATAAGGATGATACGTGCTCTCACAACAGAGTCTCCACAAGTCTCCAATAACATCAGAAAAAGTCGCTAGATTAGTCGCTAGTCGCTTTTTTGAAAGAGTCGCTAGAGGGGTCTGAAAAGTCGCTAAATATAGCGACAAAGTTGCTAAGTTGGCAACACTGCAGGGCGCTGCATCACTACTTCACACCTTCCATTGTTACCTTTCACAATAAAAGACCAACTGAAATTACACAAAGCATTTTGCTGAGAGACGACACACAAGTCACCAATACATATTTTCAGAACTTAGCATGTCGACCTGTGGCTTCACTCTCTCCTTTGTTGTCCTGTCTCCAGACTGTCGTTGAGTCGTTGAGCTCCACGTGTCCACAGACAGCAACAATCAGTCCGTCCTCCATTTCTGATTCTCAGTAACATCAGGAGAGACTTACTCCACATCAAAATAAAGTTTCACACTGAAGCCATCTCCACAGGAATGTAGCAGCTAAGCTACGAGGAAAAAAAAAGTGTGTGTGTCGGCTAAATGTAACCACTTGTGTGTGTCGGCTAAAC